GAAGCATTTATTTGGCCTGCAATTTCTGAGGCTGGTAACTGTAATGAATTTATCCTCTGCAGCAGTGGTATCTCTGGGTCTTCCTTTCCTGTGGCGGTCCTCATGAGAGCCAGTTTCATCATAGCGCTTGATGTTTTTGCGACTGCACTAGAGGAAACGTTCAAAGTTCTTGAAATGTTCCATATTGACTGACCTTCATGTCTTAAAGTAATGATGGACTGTCGTTTCTCTTTGCTTATTTGAGCTGTTCTTGCCATAATATGGACTTGGTCTTTTACCAAATAGGGCTATCTTCTGTATACCAACCCTACCTTGTCACAACACAACTGATTGGCTCAAACGCATTAAGGAGGAAATAAATTCAACAAATTAACTTTTAACAAGGCACACCTGTTAATAAAATGCATTTCAGGTGACTACCTCATGAAGCTGGTTGAGAGAATGCCAAGAGTATGCAAAGCTGTCATCAAGGCAAAGGTTGGCTATTTGAAGAATATCAAATATAAAATATATTTTGATTTGTTTAACACTTTTTTGGTTGCTACATGATTCCATATTTGTTATTTCATAGTTTTGATGTCTTCAATATTATTCTACAATGTAAAAAACATAAAAAATAAAGAAAAACCCTTGAATAAATAGATGTGTCCAAACTTTTGACTGGTAGTGTACATGTACTGATGTGTGGGTGACTGTCAATAATTTGTGTGACTGTTAGTATGACCTTTTCTTTTCTTCTATTTTTCTTATTTTAAAGTTGTGTTGTTCTGTCCTTGAGCTGTTCTTGTCTATTGGTGTTCTGTATTATGTCATGTTTTATGTTTTGTTTTGAATCCAGGAAGTGTAGCTGCTGCTTCAGCAACAGCAAATGGGAATCACAATAAAATACTAAAAAGTAAAACATGAGTTATAAAGGTTTTGAAAGTAGCGCTCACGAGCCAAAATGGGTCCACAAAAATGTTGCACAATTGCATACAACGTCATCCATTTCGTATGATATGTTACATATTGCAAAAAATATTAATTTTTTATCCTGCAATTCGTATGATATGTTAAAATTCCAATTCGTACAATATGTTACAAAATTGTAAGTTCTTAAATGAAAAATCCACTCCAAAACTATATTTTGGTATTTTTTACATTATTCCACTGTTAATACAGTCCCAAAATGTTTTACATGTCAGCAGAATGTAAACTGAATTGTTTTTGCTAAATATCATCATGGATAAAATGTACTGTATATGAAAAATAATGGTGTCTTTGATTCCACAGAAGCAGGGTTTTCTTTTTTTGGGAAAACATTTATAAATCAAATCAATTTTTATTTGTCACATACACGTGTTTAGCAGATGTCATTGCGGGTGTAGCGAAATGCTTGTGCTTCTAGCTCTGACAGTGCAGTAATATCTAACAAGTAATTTCTAACAATTTCACAACATATACCCAAAACACACAAATCTAGTAAGGAATGGAATTTAAGAATATATACAAATATGGACAAGCAATGACAGAGCGGCATGGACTAAGATACAGTAGAATATTATAGAATAGAATACAGTATATACATATGAGATGAGTAGTGCAAGATACAGTGGGGAAAAAAGTATTTAGTCAGCCACCAATTGTGCAAGTTCTCCCACTTAAAAAGATGAGAGAGGCATGTAATTTTCATCTTAGGTATACGTCAACTATGACAGAGAAATGGAGAAAAAAAAATCCAGAAAATCACATTGTAGGATTTTTAATTAATTAATTTGCAAATTATGGTGGAAAATAAGTATTTGGTCAATAACAAAAGTTTCTCAATACTTTGTTATCTACCCTTTGTTGGCAATGACACAGGTCAAATGTTTTCTGTAAGTCTTCACAAAGTTTTCACACACTGTTGCTGGTATTCTGGCCCATTCCTCCATGCAGATCTCCTCTAGAGCAGTGATGTTTTGGGGCTGTCGCTGGGCAACACGGACTTTCAACTCCCTCCAAAGATATTCTATGGGGTTGAGATCTGGAGACTGGCTAGGCCACTCCAGGACCTTGAAATGCTTCTTACGAAGCCACTCCTTCGTTGCCCGGGCGGTGTGTTTGGGATCATTGCCATGCTGAAAGACCCAGCCACGTTTCATCTTCAATGCCCTTGCTGATGGAAGGAGGTTTTCACTCAAAATCTCACGATACATTGCCCCATTCATTCTTTCCTTTACACGGATCAGTCGTCCTGGTCCCTTTGCAGAAAAACAGCCCCAAAGCATGATGTTTCCACCCCCATGCTTCACAGTAGGTATGGTGTTCTTTGGATGCAACTCAGCATTCTTTGTCCTCCAAACACGACGAGTTGAGTTTTTACCAAAAACTTCTATTTTGGTTTCATCTGACCATATGACATTCTCCCAATCCTCTTCTGGATCATCCAAATGCACTCTAGCAAACTTCAGACGGGCCTGGACATGTCCTGGCTTAAGCAAGGGGACACGTCTGGCACTGCAGGATTTGAGTCCGTGGCGGCGTAGTGTGTTACTGATGGTAGGCTTTGATACTTTGGTCCCAGCCTTCTGCAGGTAATTCACTAGGTCCCCCCGTGTGGTTCTGGGATTTTTGCTCACCGTTCTTGTGATACTTTTGACCCCACGGGGTGAGATCTTGCGTGGAGCCCCAGATCGAGGGAGATTATCAGTGGTCTTGTATGTCTTCCATTTCCTAATAATTGCTCCCACAGTTGATTTCTTCAAACCAAGCTGCTTACCTATTGCAGATTCAGTCTTCCCAGCCTGGTGCAGGTCTACAATTTTGTTTCTGGTGTCCTTTGACAGCTCTTTGGTCTTGGCCATAGTGGAGTTTGGAGTGTGACTGTTTGAGGTTGTGGACAGGTGTCTTTTATACTGATAACAAGTTCAAACAGGTGCCATTAATACAGGTAACGAGTGGAGGACAGAGGAGCCTCTTAAAGAAGAAGTTACAGGTCTGTGAGAGCCAGAAATCTTGCTTGTTTGTAGGTGACCAAATACGTATTTTCCACCATAATTTGCAAATAAATTCATTAAAAATCCTACAATGTGATTTTCAGGAAAAAAAATCTCAATTTGTCTGTCATAGTTGACCTGTACTTATGATGAAAATTACAGGCCTCTCTCATCTTTTTAAGTGGGAGAACTTGCACAATTGGTGGCTGACTAAATAATTTTCCCCCACTGTATGTAAACATTATTAAAGTGACTAGTGTTCCATTTCTTAAAGTGGCCAGTGATTTCAATAGGCAGCAGCAGCCTCTAATGTGCGAGTGATGGCTATTTAACAGCCTGATGGCCTTGAGATGCTTTTCATTCTCTCGGTCCCAGCTTTGATGCACCTGTACTGACATCGCCTTCTGGATGATAGTGGGGTGAACAGGCAGTGGCTCGGGTGGTTGATGTCCTTGATGATCTTTTTGACCTTCCTGTGACATCGGGTGCTGTAGGTGACTTGGAGGGCGTGTAGTTTGCCCCCGGTAATGCGTTCGGCAGACCGCACAACCCTCTGGAGAGCCCTGTGGTTGCGGGCAGTGCAGTTGCCGTACAAGGCGGTGATACAGCCCAACAGGATGCTTTCAATTGTGCATCTGTAAAGGTTTGTGAGGGTTTTAGGTGCCAAGCCAAATTTATTCAGCCTCCTGAGGTTGAGCACGCACCCTTGTGGGGCACCATTGTTGAGGATCAGCGAAGTGGAGATGTTGTTTCCTACCTTCACCACCTGGGGGCGGCCCATCAGGAAGTCCAGGACCCAGTTGCACAGGGCGGGGTTCAGACCCAGGGCCTCGAGCTTAATGATGAGCTTGGAGGGTACTATGGTGTTGAATGCTGAGCTATAGTCAATGAACAGCATTCTTACATAGGTATTCCTCTTGTCCAGGTGGGATAGGTGTGCAGTATGATGGCGATTTGCATCGTCTGTGGATCTATTGGGGCGGTAAGCTAATTGAAGTCTCTCAAAGCACTTCATGATGACAGAGGTGAGTGCTACGGGGCGATAGTCATTTAGTTCAGTTACCTTTGCTTTCGTGGGTACAGGAACAATGGTGGCCATCTTGAAGCATGTGGGAACAGCAGATTGGGAAAGGGAGAGATTGAATATGTCCATAAACACACCAGCCAGCTGGTCTGCGCATGCTCTGAGGACACGGCTAGGGCTGCCGTCTGGGCCGGCATTCTTGCGGGGTTGACATGCTTAAATGTCTTACTCATGTCGGCCACGGAGAAGGAGAGGCCACAGTCCTTGGTAGTGGGCCTCGTCGGTGGCACTGTGTTATCCTCAAAGCAGGCGAAGAAGGTGTTTAGCTTGTCTGGAAGCGAGACGTCGGTGTCGGCGACGTGGCTGGTTTTCCTTTTGTAGTCCGTGATTGTCTTTCTTGGTCCTATGGAGTGATTTATAGAGGAGACCTTTATGCTGCTGTACATTCGATCTGATTGTGGTATAGGCATCCTGTAGAGAACTTACAAGCAATGCGTCCCACAAACTAAAAATGTTACAAAGATAACACTGATTGACCAGAGATTAGTGTTCTCCCTCACAGCCTCAGTGAATATCACCTCTGGTACTGATAGACGGTATTAGATTGACTTTCACACACACACACAACAACAAAAAACTGCACATATAAAAACCCACATTCATCATGTTTTCCTCGCAAGGTACTTATTTTATTAGAATAGCCTCATTTTATGACGTTGCTACTGGGTTGTAGCCTATTTCATGAAGAGCGGAAATGACCTGCAAATGAGTTACTCATCCACCTAGTTATGTTTGAATATTTGAGTTAATAATTAAACCCCTACCTACATGTTATCTACGTATATGTACTGAGCAAGTAGTTAAAGTAGCTGTTTGGACCGGACAGAATACCACTTGTGAAGTGTCAATGTGCAGTGGTAGGACGGAGTCAGCCGCAGGACACAGAACTGAGTAAACAACGTACTTTACTCGAAAAAATAAACAACACTTTGGTTGTCACAGTTTTTTGTGAAGAAGTCATGTGTGAGATGGGTGTGATTCCTGTGTTGACTGTAAAACCATCGAGAGCCCTCTTTGATGAGAAGTTCCATGTGGTTGTGGGGAACTTACCACCGACACAGGAGGTCACGCTACATTCTTTACATCAGTCTGAAGACACAGACTACTGGGAGGCGTTTGGGCACTATGTCAGTGATGCTCAGGGAAGGATCACAGGTGAGAGATATTATTTCCATTTATCTACTTCATTTACTGTATCTACTTGATTTAGCTACTTCATTTATCTACTTCAACACAAGAAAAACACTTCCAAATACACTTTCTGATGTATTTGTGCCTGCAATGGAAAGTATTTAACTCATTTTATTTATTTAAAGGAATTACAGTGAAATAACAATATGTCTTCTGTAAACTCGGACTGGTGTCATATTCATCATAACTATTTAAAACCCCCTGACATCAGAATTATGTCACAAAATGCATGTTTTTTTCCTACACAAACCACACTTTTCGCCCTGTACTTTCTCAAGTAAGTTTTATGTCATTAATAGTCTTTAAGGATCCAAGTGTAGGGGGGACATATGAGGGTGTTGAGCCCATGGGTCTGTTGTGGAGCATGAGACCAATACCTGGCAGTAGACCGGAACTCAGGTAAACATGAGAATGAACATGAGAGTATTCTGACACTCAGGCAAACGCTAAAGTGGTTGGTAGTTTTGGAATACAAATTGTTATGACCTCTCTAGGTTGAGGAAGAAGGAGGTCCACACTCCCATGGTGGTGCACATCTCTGTGTACAGGGGACACATGAGTCAGGGGTTCAGGGAACAGGTGGCCCTGGCGAGTGTCGTCACAGAACGCTGGTACATGGCCCCCGGAGTCCGCAGGGTTGACATCACAGAGGGAGGGGTCACAGGGACCCTATTCCTGCCACCAGGTACACAATATGCTGTCAATAACTGAAGGTCACATACATGTTGGCCATTTTGCCTGGGTTCTCCTTAAGACCTGTAGAGTAATAATAAGTCATAACAAATTTCATTTAGAGTTCTGACATGTTGAATATATATATATATATATATATATATATATATATATATATATATATATATATATATATATATATAAGGCAAAGGATCATTGGTAGAAACAAACAATAATGTTTTTGTCATGTCATCCTGAAGGTCCCGGACCCTTCCCCGGAGTTTTAGACATGTGGGGAGGTAGTGGCGGCCTGGTGGAATATCGAGCGGCTCTCTTGGCATCCCAGGGCTTTGCTGCCATGGCGTTAATTTATGTCTTCCGAGACCAAAAAAAAAATTATACCATTGGCTACCCTTACTTTGAGGTTTGTGTCTACCGTCTGCACCGTTTTCCTATAGAAATCGTGGTTGACACTCTGCCATTTATGTGTGTGTGTGTGTGTGTGTGTGTGTGTGTGCGTGTGTGTGAGTGTGTGTGTGTGCCTGCAAAATGGGAACTGCTCCAAAGAACTGTACTATGTTTTAAGAAGTTATTTTTAGTCACTCGGTAAGATCTTACGAACAATATCTTGATAAACAATAACTTGCATGACAAGTGACAGTCTGACAGACAATGCTACATAATACCTGTGACTGTTTGTTTGCTAGTTTGAATCCTTACCTTACACAATTAGTAACTGATTTAGAACTTTGGAATCAGGTGAGAGGACTCTTTCACTGTCTTTGAATGTGAATACTAACGGACACATCACTATGCTGTCTCTCTCATCTGTGGGGCTGGGAGAAAAAACACTCTGCACGTCTTTCTTGATCTACTGTCTTGAGAAAACGTTCATAAATGCCTAAATGAGTATTGTCACATGCTGATATTTTCTCAGACTGCTTTCAGACTACTGCAGGATCACCCTCTAGTGGCCGCAGACAGAATTGCCCTGCTTGGCCTTTCCCTTGGTGTTACAGTGGTTCTGTCCATCACTGCCTACTCAGAAGCTGTCAAAGTAAGTCCCTAAGAAACTTCTGCCCTGTCAGTTTGTTGATTTCCAGAATAAACATATGTGCATGCGCTTGCACCCGACCAAAATGTCCCCATCATACTCACCGTCATTGAGTTATGTTTAACACATTAATATCAGAGACAAAATGCTTTTTGTCTATCTGTCCTCTGTCAGTAATAAACAATGTATTCATGTAGTTTAAACAAATCTCTGTTTACTCCTTTTAGCCTAGATGTTGTGTGTGCATCAGTGGCAGCCATGCTTGTCGAATTGGAGCTACCCAGTCCATTGAGGAAACATCTCAGGGTATAGACAAGTGAGTCAATACCTTATGTTTACTTGTATTTGTCTGTTTATAAAGTAGCCTAATGATTTTCAAGGAAAAAATAAGTACTATACCTTTGGCCATTCCTTCGCAGAAAATATACAAAGGCCCGTACTGATGAGGAGAATCGCATCATCTGGAGGGACGTTCTTTTACCCATTCCAGAAGATATAGACCTGAAAGTGGAGGTAAGAGATCTGTTATGTAGAGAAAGACCCTTCAGTCCTCTGCTCTTGTTTGGATGATTGTAGCGAGGGAAATGTATCTCACACAGGAGGACAGGATGATAAGGACCTCTAAAAGATTACGCTGGAGAACTCAACCAATACTGGGAACAGTTTCACACTTCATCCAGTCCTATCATGATCCTCCAGTATCTCACAAGATTGAGGGCTCAGAAGTATTGTTGTATCTGTCAATATTCAATTTTCTCCTAAATTGGTATTGATTTGTTCAGTCATGCTCCATTTTGTTTTATTCTGTCCTCAGATGGGGAGGATAACATGTCCTCTGCTGCTGGTTGTTGGACAAGATGATCAGAATTGGGCTGCTGTCGAATCAGCTGATGACGTGAGCTATGTCCTGTTTGCCTATGGAGAACATCATGCTTCCTAAATGCAGTTTAAATACAAGATATCAATTCATGACATGAATTAATTAGCGTTAAACTCCATAATTTTCTCCTCAGATGAAGCAGATGATGGAGAGAGCAGGGAACAGTCACCTGCTGACCACTCTGTCCTACCCTGGAGCTGGTCACCTGATTGAACCGCCGTATGGACCCCACTGCAGGGCTTGTACCTTTGTGTTGCAGCCAGGCCAACAGAGAGGTGCCTTTCCAGAGTCATTCATGCAGACAAACTGTGCTTCTATAGTTATTGTGCTCCTATAGGAGTCCCAATACATTCCTCGTGGACAACAGGGGGTTGCACATTTCTGCTTTAGCCAAGCATTACCACGCCAGATGAAACTAGTCCACTAATGATCCTACAGTTCTAGGTTTTTCTTATGTTACTGGACCCAATTTTCATATAGGTCTACATTACACAGTCATAAGAGAATGTCTCAAATGTCTCAAATCTAAAGCTGTCATTCCAACTTGTTGTAGTGGTGATGCTGTGGGGAGGCCTCACCAAACCTCACGCCGTCGCACAGGAAGACTCATGGGAGAAGATTATAGGTTTTCTGCGAGAGCATCTCTGTCACAGTGTCAAACACCATGTGCAGTCCAGATTGTGAGCATTGTCTTACGTCAGGTGGCATCACTCCTATGCAACACTCGTCCTTCAACCGATCAGTGCTGGGGGAATCGTCGCGTTATCTGACATAAGACAATGAACTGTGACGTAAATAGCAATGGACACCATGCAGTTCAGACAAAGAAATAAACAAAGATAACTTTGAGAGACAGCAACTGTTCCTGCCCAGATGCCAAATGAGTACCCCAAACTTGATCAATTGCCTCATTGTTTGATGTTAGTTCTGATACAGTATGAATGCAATTTGTTTAGGTACGTATTTTTTTGTATGTATTTTTCATTTTAACCATATGGTTTGATTAAAATATGTAACATAATATTACACTATTTTACCTGTCTACTTGTCTGCTTGATAATACTTCTGAAGGCGGGTCCTTTCTAGTTTTAGAAAATATAGAAACATTTCTCTGCTCTGGTTTAGGTGCTGAACAGAATAAATGTACTTCAGCTGTGATTTATTGGTAAGACTGACTATCTTTGTCAGCACAAAAGAGCAGTAAAACCACAAAGATTTCAAACAAATGTGCAGAATGACTAATTCAATTCCATCTTTCATTGAATCAGAAGGCTCATTCAAAACAAAACCTTTTTTATTGCCAATTATTTTAATGACTATTTCCTTGGCAAAGTGGGCAAACTCAATCATGAAATGCCAACAACAAACTGTGAGCCATCATATTCATGCATAAAATGCCAAATAATTAAAGAAAAGCATTATATTTTTTAATTCTATAAAGTTAGTTTGGGTGAGGTGGAAAATGTATTGTTGTCCTTCAATAATGAGACACCGCCTGGTATTGACAAGCTACTGAGGATGGTAGCGCACTATATTGCCACTCGTATTTATCATATCTTTAATCTGAGCCTGGAGAAAGTGTTTGTCCTCAGACCTGTAGGGAAGCTAAAGTCATTCCGCTACCCAAGAATGGTAAAGCACCCTTTGCTGGTTCTAACAGCCGACCTATCAGATTGCTGCCGGCTCTTAGCAAACCTTTAGAAAGAATTGTGTTTGACCAGATACAATGCTATTTATCTGTGAACAAATTAATAACAGACTTTCAGCGTGTTCATAGATAAGGGCACTCAACATGTACTGCAGTGACACACATGATTGGCTGAATGAAATTGATAATAAAAAGATTGTGGGAGCTTTATCGTTATATATAAATTAGCTCCCTGGTATACAGAAAATACCTGAGCCCTGAAGCAAGCTTCCAGAAAATTGGAACGGAAATAGCGCTCCACCAAACTGGAAGTCTTCCGACAACACAGTGCCATATCGAAGAGCCCTCACTGCTGCTCGTTTAGCCTACTTTTCCAACCTAATTGAGGAGAAATAAAAACAATTCCAAATGTATTTTTGATACTGTCGCAAAGCTAACTAAAAAGCAGCATTCCCCAAATGAGGATGGCCTTTACTTTAGCGGTAATGAATTCATGAACTTCTTTGACGAAAAGACCATGATCATTAGAAAGCAAATGACGGACTCCTCTTTGAATCTGCATTTTCTCCAAAACTCAACTGTCCTGCATAGAACTGTCAGGAACTAGGATCAATGGAGACACTCAAGTTTTTTAATCCTGTATCTCTCAACACATTCCCGAAAATAGTAATGGCCTCTAAACCTTCCAGCTGCCTAATGGACCCTATTCCAACTAAACTACTGAAAGAGCTACTTCAAATCAAATCAAATCAAATCAAATCAAATGGAATTTGCCACATATGCCGAATACGACAGGTGTAGACATTACAGTGAATTGCTTACTTACAAGCCCTTAACCAACCATGCAGTTTTTAAATAAAATAAAATAAAAGTGTTAAGTAAAAATTTTATAGTCTGGGTAGCCATGATTAGCTGTTCAGGAGTCTTATGGCTTGGTGGTAGAAGCTGTTAAGAAGCCTTTTAGTCCTAGACTTGGCACTCCGGCACCGCTTGCCGTGCAGTAGCAGAGAGAACAATCTATGACTAAGGTGGCTTGGTGTGGTCGGGTGAGGTCGTCGGGTGAGGTTGTGTGTCTCTCTGGCGGGAGGTAAGCTTGGCTTTATACATAGTTTGGGCTTTGTCGAGTAAAGCTTAAACTATGTATTTAGATTGTAGTTAGGTATTGTAGGTAGTTATCGTGGGTTGTTGTATGTAATTATTGTAGGTTAGTATTTTATTCGGCTGAGCCCGGTGAAGCACGAAGCTAGCTAGCTAACCCACTACCTGGACTAGCTAGCGGGTAGCTACTGGCAACTATTAGCAATGGTGGATAGTTGTTTCACGCCTGAGAGTGCCTGTAATTACGCCGGCTGGCTGCCTACAATAATTACATACAATAATGCCTACCATTCAGCTGTTTTCTAACCTCATTGTCTGAAGCGTTAACGTTAGGTAGTAAGTGGCTACTGTGCTTGAAATGTAGCTAGCTTGTTGCTACCTGGATAGCTACTACTAAACAATAGCTGGAATGACCTAGCGAACAGACGCGAACTGGCTGAGTCAATTCAGTGGAAAGCTTTGCACTTGGCTAGCTAACAGTAGCTGCTAGGGGTATGTTATAACCTACATTTGTGTTTTGTTTTTACATATTGGTAGCCAGAGTCGTTCAAGGGAATTCGGGACATGGGTGACTAGTTAACGTTAGCTTGGCTCTCTCTGTGTGTTCGTGTCATGAAAGGAGGGGTTTCTTCTTTGTCTGAAAGCAATGGCTAGCTAGTATGCTAACTATTCTAGCTAACTAACTGGCTGAATAAGTTGACGACGGACTCGCTCAAGCTGTCGGGACTAACCCACAACGTTAGACACGGACACGAATGATCTGCTTGGCGTGTTGACACACTGGTGGTTTGTTGTGGCCGAGTATTGGTGCTAAACCGTGTTGTTGGAGTCCGGCATGCTAGCTGGCTGTGGCGTCTTATGACTAGGTGCCCTGGATGATTTTCACGGAAGAATACTGTACCAAGTTAGCTAGCTGAATAAACTAAGTTAGTCTATTCCTAGAAAACATTGAACCGCTGTAGTTTACAACAATTATAGTTTCTGAGGTGGAAGTTGGGAGAGTTATATTTGGGTGTTGTGGTGAGGGAGGCCCCGCTCTCTCCTTTCCCAGATGTTTAGTTCATTTCATTTCGATCTCCTTTGCATTATTGTAGCCATTTTCTGTAGCCTGTCAACTATGCCTCTGTCTATCCCTGTTCTCTCCTCTCTGCACAGGCTATACAAACGCCTCACACCGCATGGCTGCTGCCTCTCTAACCTGGTGGTCCCTGCACGCACCACCCACGTGGAGTTCCAGGTCTCAGGCAGCCTCTGGAACTGCCGTTCTGCTGCCAACAAGGCAGAGTTAATCTCAGCCTATGCTACCCTCCAGTCCCTCGACTTCTTGGCGCTGACGGAAACATGGATTACCACTGAAAACACTGCTACTCCTACTGCTCTCTCCTCGTCTGACCATGTGTTCTCGCATACCCCGAGAGCATCTGGTCAGCGGGGTGGTGGCACAGGAATCCTCATCTCTCCCAAGTGGACATTCTCTATTTTTCCCCTGACCCATCTGTCTATCTCCTCATTTGAATTCCATGTTGTCACAGTCACTAGCCCATTTAAGCTTAACATCCTTGTCATTTATCGCCCTCCAGGTTCCCTTGGAGAGTTCATCAATGAGCTTGACGCCTTGATAAGTTCCTTTCCTGAGGATGGCTCACCCCTCACAGTTCTGGGGGACTTCAACCTCCCTACGTCTACCTTTGACTCATTTCTCTCTGCTTCCTTCTTTCCACTCCTCTCCTCTTTTGACCTCACCCTCTCACCGTCCCCCCCCTACTCACAAGGCAGGCAATACGCTTGACCTCATCTTTACTAGATGCTGTTCTTCTACTAATCTCACTGCAATTCCCCTCCATGTCTCCGATCACTACTTTGTATCCTTTTCTCTCTCGCTCTCCTCCAGCACTACTCACTCTGCCCCTACTCAGATGGTAATGCGCCGTCGCAACCTTCGCTCTCTCTCTCCCGCTACTCTCTCCTCTTCCATCCTATCATCTCTTCCCTCTGCTCAATCATTCTCCCTCCAATCTCCTGATTCTGCCTCCTCAACCCTCCTCTCCTCCCTTTCTGCATCCTTTGACTCTCTATGTCCCCTATGCTCCCGGCCGGCTTGGTCCTCCCCTCCTGCTCTGTGGCTTGATGACTCATTGCGAGCTCACAGAACAGGGCTCCGGGCAGCCGAGCGGAAATGGAGGAAAACTAGACTCCCTGCGGACCTGGCATCTTTTCACTCCCTCCTCTCTACATTTTCTTCATCTGTTTCTGCTGCTAAAGCCACTTTCTACCACTCTAAATTCCAAGCATCTGCCTCTAACCCTAGGAAGCGCTTTGCCACCTTCTCCTCCCTGCTGAATCCTCCCCCCCCCCCCCCCCCCTCCCTCTCTGTGGATGACTTTGTCAACCATTTTGAAAAGAAGGTTGACGACATCCGATCCTCGTTTGTTAAGTCAAATGACACTGCTGGTCCTGCTCACACTGCCCTACCCTATGCTTTGACTTCTTTCTCCCCTCTCTCTCCAGATAAAATCTTGCGACTTTTGACGGACGGCCGCCCAACAACCTGCCCGCTTGACCCTATCCCCTCCTCTCTTCTCCAGACCATCTCCGGTGACCTTCTCCCTTACCTCACCTCGCTCATCAACTCATCCTTGATCGCTGGCTATGTCCCTTCCGTCTTCAAGAGAGCGAGAGTTGCACCCCTTCTCAAAAAACCAACACTCGATCCCTCTGATGTCAACAACTACAGACCAGTATCCCTTCTTTCTTTTCTCTCCAAAACTCTTGAGCGTGCCGTCTTTAGCCAACTCTCTTGCTATCTCTCTCAGAATGACCTTCTTGATCCAAACCAGTCAGGTTTCAAGACTGGTCATTCAACTGAGACTGCTCTTCT